AATGAAAAAGTAGAATATGTTTATTTGTATTAATTTTTTTTAATTGTTAATAATTTCTTAATGAGAAACAATATTATTTAATTGACTATGTAGTAGGTTTTTTTTGTTTGAAATCCTGATGTATATCAAAGTCTTATATGGGGTCCTAATTGGGTACACATGCTTTACTCGGATGGACTTTGCCCATCCATGCCCACCCATGGTGGCTTTTGGGATACCGTACCAACCTATACCCACCCACTTTCCATTATTTTTGAACGCAGTCTGCCACGGACTGATGTCCTTGAGGCTTGTTGTCCTTTGCTCTGTTGCAAACTTTCAAGCCGCATATCAGAATTTACCATAGTCACAACATGGTTTAAGTGCTGCGCATTATATAGTGAGGATTGCAGTAATATAAGATATACGGTGATTAGCAATGTAAATTGATTTATCCACTGATGTTGAGTACTTACCCATACTCACCTACAAGGTCATGATTGTACCCATACCCACCCATACCCATTGGGTATAGGTGGGTACATGGGTGGGTGTAGGTATGGGTACCCAATGCAAGACTCTAATGTATATGTATTTAAATTTTAAGAGTTTGGAATTATGCCGTATCATTAGTGTTTATTGTATTATATTGAAATTAATGGTAGAGTTATACCTGATTTTGATATTAGTGTTTTATTAAAAATTTATTAATAATTAACTGAAATCATAAATTTTATTTTATTTTTTGAATTGAATGTTAGTACAAACATGGCTATATAAAAATAATAGAAAAAAATAATAAGAGAAATATAATAAAAGATAATATTCTGAATAATGAAGACATATTAAACTCATAAATATTTTAAATTAATACTTTATATATTAGAAGCATGTTCAATATCAATGAGGCTCCTAATCGTCAATAAGTTTAATACATGATGTTGACATCAATATGCATGTATCTGCTAGCCACTACAAATAACATTGATATGCACGATATCACTAACAAGATTGATGCACATCTTTAACACCAAGGAAAACACCAATAAGATTTTGGTGCAGCATCGTCGATGTCAACCATCGTTAATAAGGTCAATGCATGTCACTCACAACACACCAATGCCTTGAAAGTTTTTAGGTTACTTGAACATTTTTATAAATCAACGCTGACGTCTATATGACTGTCATCACCAATAAGTTTGGTGCTCGTCATCGACACCAATACTAATGTTAATAAACTTGTCAACACCGTCTACACCAACAATATATATTAAATTCCACATTAGCAATACAATTGATAAACATAATTGACATTGACTCTGAAGTAAACAAAAATGTCTTTAGACATTACCAATAGCATAAATCATGAAGACTTTGCCAATGCTTAACATTCTCTCTAAAACCTTTAACATGAAGACTTTGCCAATGCATAAATTTCATTCTAAATTATTGTTCAGCACACACCTTCATTCATACATTTATATATGATTCCTTGAGCCATCTTCAAAAACTACTCATGATTCCTAATGCCCAGGTTCCAAATTTCCTGCTTAGCAACTCAAGCGACAAGCGGGCACAAGCAAGATGAAGGTGCTCATGTGCGAAGAAAAAGAGAGATTATTAGATGCGGAGTGTGGACGGGGAGAACTGTCCGCACAAACATTGGGTACCTAGCGGTACCCGCACTCGGTACCGCTGGGTACCGCTAGGTGCCCAGTACTTCTGCGGATGGTGCGCACTCAGCACCTAATAATTTTTCGAAGAAAAAAGACCATTAATCAATAAGTCTTCTTGAGGACTAAGATGATCTCAAGCAACAAGATAAAATACTTAATATAACCATAAAAAGCTACATCTTTTTCTTTTTGATTGAATGAAATGTTAATATAAACATGGCTATAAAAAAAGGATCCATCGTATTTGTTTATGAAAACTTGAATAGGATAAATTATTGTCTTAAAAAAAGTTTTAAAATAATATTTTTAAAAATGAAATAATAAAGATTTTATAAAAAACATCAATTCTAAACATTCACTAGTGTTGCAACTTGCACCAAATATTCCCGTAGGTGTCATAAATAATAAACAGAGAAAAATAAAGGAGAGATTATGATAGATGCCTTCCAATCATTTTCTCATCAAGCAACAAATAGTTATACACAACAAGCGAAAGATTAAAAAAATATATATTTATTTATGGTAAGATTTTTTTTTTTTTGCATTTTAAGAGAAAAAATAGATGAGGATGTATTGATCAAATTTTGATTAAATATTTAAATTTATTTTATGATAAATGTAATATAATAACTAATTGGTTATCCAAATTTTGATGCCATCAAATCCAAATCTAATAAAAAAAATGAAATATTTATATTTTTAAATAATGCAACTACAGATCAATAATTCTTTTTTCTTAAAGTGATAGGTAATATTTGGGGCAAACGTTTATTTATGAGTAATGATACCTAATTAGTCATATTTTTTTATGATAGCTAATTATAAGAGAATATTTCTTAGTCTTTTAATCAAATAAACAATAAACACATCATTTAAAAAAATTTGTGACAATAACTCTAAGAAATAGCAAAACATTTTTTTATAACTATAAAAATATAAAAAAAGCAAGCTAGGGGTGTAATAAATTTCTTGAGTAAACTATTCTGTGCGGAGGCCGGATGCAGCTCTAAGTTTAGAGACGAATCAGGTGCAACCACGTCAGCGGTACCGAGCCGTGATATCTAGCTAAGGGATGACGTGACACATTCTGATTGGTCTCCAGACGGTGTTCGGCATCCGCATAGAATAATTGCACAACCCAAGACCAACTCAAAAAATTCGGGCTCGAGTTCACCCGTTCAATAGATGGGTTGGGTTTGGGTTGACTTGCGAACGAAATTTTGACCTAAAAGTGACCCGTTTATTTTCTAATTATTTTGTTTGCCGATATGCTCTTTTTATTCTTGATTCAGTTATCCTAAACTCTATATTTAATAACTAATAAACAACAATTTTCAATCAAAACAGTTTATCGTATTAGGTTCAGATCATCCAGGTTCATCTTTTTGACGCATTCATTAAACACATGATCAGATTCAAATCAATTTGATTTAAATCGAATAAATTTCGAATCAGATCTAAATCCGAACCCTAAAACAAGTTAGCAAAGTTCATGCGACCCAGCGGTCCGTTGCAGGGAAGAATTTTTTTGTGACAAACTAAAAAAGGAAAATTATGCATTGAAGACGATATTGCTCATCATTAATACTAACTTAATACAATTATTAAATAGTATAAAACAAAATCAGTAACTCCCTGCACAAAAATTGGTAGGCTGTGGAAGCAAAGCAATCAATTGATGAATAGTCTGTAGAGTACATTTGCCTCTTTCATGATTCACCCGACAGCTCTGATGGCCTGTCCATGTGATCCCTGATACCATATGGTCTGCATTATCCATCCTTAAAGACACACAGCTTATTTAATAGTTTAAATTCATTTGTAAAAAATAATTATAAATGAGAAATTATATTATACTAAAATTATTAAAAATTTCATAATTATTTAAGAATAATTGTTGATGTCAAAATGAACAAAATGTTGATAATAATGGTGATGCTGTGATTGGTGATGATGAATTATTCAATAAGATTCATTTTTTTATTTTATTATGATGATAATATAAATCAATAAGTATTGATCAGATCAAATCATATTGATAATGTATTAATTGATTATTAAAAATTATTGATGGAAAAATTTAGGATTATTATATTAATGTTAATTAAATTAGTTGAATGATTTTGTTTTTAATTTTGAGGGTTGATTTGGGAAACTTTATAATTGTTTTGCTTCTTAGGGTGATATCATATGTCATTGGGGTGTCAAAATGGGTTTTCAGTCGGGTTCAGGTCTAATTCGAAAATAATCAGCCATCATCTAACCTGACCCTATTATAAGATTAGGTCAAAGACCCAGACCTTAACCTGACTCGATTCAAACTCACGTATAACCAATACGACCTACCAACCTATTAATTAATTTATTTTTTTACTAATTTAGTAATCCTGCTTTCACATGCTTCTTTGGCCAAATCCAGTTTTCTAACAGCCTAATCACCTGAGCTGCCAGATCCATTTTACACACTTCTCCTTCTTCCATTTCGTGCGTTTCTTCTTCGTCCAAAACCCATAATCAGTCATGTTTGTTTCACTTTCAGGCTTCCACTTTTATGCATGGAGCCACTAACTCAGACCTACGCATGAAATGAAATCTCATTCCCACCTCCCATATATACGCACTTCTTCGACAAAATCCATAAATCCTTCTGATCCTGATCAAAATTGAGTTATTTTTGGGTTGACCTGAACTCAACTCGTTTATTAATTGGTTCTAATTTTTGGACCCAAACTCAGCACATTTGTTAAATGAGGAAAAACGAACTCATAATTTTCTGATTGGGTCTGGATCGAGTCGGCAGATCTAAAAAGAAAATTTTATTAAAATGTGATAGTTATATAAAAATTATTGTATATTATTTTAAAAAAATTATAATACCCCTAATAGTTATTAAAACTTTAATTTCCCCTCAGTCCCCAGACGGACTGCTATCATACTTCTCTTACTGCACGCGATCCATTTTACATAAATCTTGAAGCGAATGATTAAATGATCAATCATCATCGCGTGACTTATTTTAGTTATATTACCGCCACAACAGATCGAACATCCTAATCCTAACAAAATAAATTACTTTATTAAGCTTTTAAATTTAAAATGTTTACTTCATAAAGGGTCAAACTATCAAAGCAGCATTTTGTGTGGAGCCGCCGGCTTATGAGGTCGACGTGGCCCGGCTCAGCTTAAGCCATTTAGCCAGTAACGGCTTCCTGGTATACCCTAGGGCTAACCAGAGTTATTTGTTAAACCACGGTTAAGGTTTTACAAAATTTCAGAGTTCATTTCTCAGCAGCCATGATTGCCGTACTGTGGGAAATACTGCTTCCTATTTAAATCCCCGTTCTCTGCTTCTGAAAACCAACCTGGCATTTCTCTTTCCACCACAAAGCTCACAGCTTTACCCACTTCTAGCTTGTTTTTCTCTCTGCAACCCTACAGCTTCAGTTGAAGAAAAGAAAGGAGAGGGGAAAAGGCGGCGAAGAAAGAAAGAGCAAAGGGATTCAGCACATATCAGATCAGCCGATGGTGGTTGAAAAAGAAGATCTTGGGCTCAGCCTCAGCCTGAGCTCCTCAGATGCGTTATGCCCTCTTCAGTCAAACCTAATGCCGCCTGCGACATTGCCGACGGAGCAGAGGCTGATGTTGATGGGTGGAATCGACGTTAATCGGGCTCCGATGGAGGAGTGGGAGGTTGAGGATGATGCCGGTGGTTCTTCGCCTAATAGTTCTGTGTCGAACACGAGCGCCGGCGGGAAGAGAGGGTTTGGAGTCGCCGGGGGTTTTGTTGTCGGCGGCGAGGTGGTTGAAGGGGAGCAGGAGTGTTCGCGTGGTGGGAGTGACGAGGAGGATGGTGAGGGCGCGAGGAAGAAGCTACGGTTATCTAAGGAGCAGTCGGCCGTTTTGGAAGAGAGCTTCAAGGAGCATAACACGCTTAACCCTGTAAACATTTCTTTCTCTCTCTGGTTTGCAGGATTCCTGAAAAAAAAAGTGATGAACGTTTTTAAATTTTCATTTTTTTATGCTTTTCCTAATTTTCAAGTTTTGTGTTGCTTTAATTTGGGGATTTGGTTGTTGGATTTAATAACTTTTGTAGATTGAAGGATTTAAGCGCTATAAATCTGTGGATTTTAAAAGAAACAAGTTTGAGCTAATGTTATTAAAAATGTGCAGAAGCAAAAGCTGGCGCTGGCGAAGCAGCTCAATCTCCGGCCTCGGCAAGTAGAAGTCTGGTTCCAAAATCGACGAGCGAGGTAATTATCTTCCTCATCATCATCTTCTACTTCTTCTTCTTCTTCTTCTTCTTCTTCATGTTCATCTTCCTCTATAGAGGCATTTCAGATAGTAGTCCAAGTTTATTCACTCTATTCTGTATTAATGGTCTTTCAGGACGAAGCTGAAGCAAACCGAAGTGGACTGCGAGTTCTTGAAGCGATGCTGCGAGAATCTCACGGAGGAGAATCGCCGGCTTCAGAAAGAAGTGCAGGAACTTCGAGCCCTGAAGCTTTCCCCGCATTTTTATATGCACATGACTCCTCCCACCACCCTTACCATGTGCCCATCGTGCGAGCGTGTCACTCCGCCGCCGCCGGCTGTGACCGGCGAAAAGCGCCTCATTGCTCGCCCGATCAACGCTGCCGCTGGCGTCGCTCCTCACTGGGCATCCTTACCGCTCCGCCCATCCTTCCTAGACGCGCCACCGCAGCGCCACTGAACTCGCTCGGTAAAATTGGGAACCTCGCCGGGTTTTCTGGTTTGACCGGAGTTTTTTTTTTTCTCTTTTTCTCGAAGTTCAATTTATATTTGTAGCCTTTTTTTTTTTTTTTTTTTTTTAGTGTGGGAGATTGGTAGTAAAAAGTTAAAAGCCTTTTGTGAAGATAGAAATGTTATTTATATCCGCTTCAATTACTACATTTTATAAACATTTTTGTGCTGATATCGTTAAAAAAATGTTATTCTTTTTTTACATCATAATATTCTTTAAAGTGATATATTACATAAAAACTATATTAAAAATATAAAAAGCACTCTTTACACATTCTAAAAATGAGATATTTTTATAAATATATAATATGACCAACAACAAATTTTGCTTTGTTACGCGATCATGCATGATATTTTTGAAGATATAATCCATTAACAAGCAAAATATGTGATTTCCTTTGCAATCAATCAACTGATAAGGTCCTTGAAAGCAGAGCAAGAATGAAAGGAAATGTATTCATGTCATGCGAAGAGTACATAAGCAGCTATATATAGATAGCTTTGGGACTTAGACAGGTAACCAAATACAAGAATACACATAACTTGTAAAACAGGTATAGGTATATAAATGTGCTTATATTATACGCCCCCTTAAGCTAATGGACAGGTTGAACAGTCAGCTTGTTGCGTAGAAGATGATAGCGAGGAGTGGAGAGTGTTTTGATAAAAATGTCAGCTATCTGATCTTTGGCGAAGATATGAAAGATATGAACCGTTTGGGATTGGATATGATCCTTGATGAAATGGTGATCAATTTCAATATGCTTGGTACGAGCATGAAATACTAGGTTGTTTGTCAGTGCAATCGCTGACGTACTATCGCAATGTAGACTGTGGGAGACTGTAGTTGAATATGGAAATCAAGTAAGAGCTGGCAGAGCCATAGTATGTTGGCGAGAGCTGTAGCGAGAGACCGGTATTCAACTTCTGTTGAAGAGCGAGCGACAGTGTGCTGCTTTTTGACACTCCAGGAGATGAGTGTGTTGCCGAAGAATGTACAGTAGCCAGAAGTAGATCGACGTGTTTCTTTGTCTCCAGCCCGATCAGCGTTCGAGTAAGAGTGTAGTTCCGGTTTGCCCTACAAAATCAGAAGACCAAGAGGTAAAGTACCTTTGATATATCTAAGAACTCTATTGAGTATATAAAAGTGATGGGGAGTAGGATTATGCATATGTTGGCATAACACATTAACCATAAATGATATATCCGGTCTAGTTATGACAAGGTACTGCAGAGAACCAGTGATATGTCTGTAAAGCTTGGAGTCGAATGGTAAGGCGTCTTTGATATTGGGATCCGGAAGCCTGGCGCACGAAGGATTAGCTAGGGCCTTACAGTTGGTCATACATGCTAGTTTAAGGATTGAAGCGGCATAGTGCTGTTGGGATAGCATATATCTTTTGTTCATCGAGCTGATGGTAATACCGAGAAAGCTGCTTGCCATCCCCAGATTTTTCATGTTGAATTTATTGTTTAGCTGAGAAATAACATTTGTAATCAAAGTGGAATCATTGCCAGTTAGTAGTATATCATCTACATATATAACAAGATATAGATGACTGTTTCCCATTGTAAGGATAAATAGGGACGAGTCAGCTATGCCCGGAGAGAACCCAAGAGTGTGGAGAAATGTTGAAAAGGTTTGGAACCATTGCCGAGGAGCTTGTTTGAGTCCATAAATAGCTTTCTTGAGTTTACAGACATGGTGCGGATGATGGTCGTCTTCAAATCCTTTTGGTTGTTTCATGTAGATCATCTCATCAATGGTACCATGTAAGAATGCGTTCATCACATCTAAATGATTCACGGGCCAAGCATTAGAGATAGCAATAGTTAGTAAAATTCGGATAGTCGGAAACTTAGCTACGGGACTAAATGTTTCTAGGTAATTTATGTCGTATTATTGGTGGTTTCCTTGAGCGACTAATCGAGCTTTGAAATGAGCAATAGTGCCATCGGAGTTGTGTTTGATGCGGAATGTCCAACAACTACCAAGAACGGGTAAATCAGTAGTAGGGATGAGCTCCTAGGTGCCTTGTTTTTGTAAGGCATAGAATTCCTATGCCATTTCGCGACGCCAATGAGGGTGTTGGGTGGCTTCATTGTACGTAGTAGGTTCATGCAAATATGGAGACTGCATAGGGGTTTGAAGGTGAAGCAAGTTAAGACATTGAGTGGGTCTGAGGGAACCAATTTTGGTTTGGGTGATCATAGGATGAGTGGGCTGTGTTGTGTTGTTGGGGATCTTTATAGGCATTGGTGACGACTCATTTGAAGTAGGCTGAGGAGGAGGTTCAGATATAGCCGTTGAGGGAGATGCGGGTATGTATATGGATGCAGGATAAGATTGCAATGGTTGTAGAGTATGATTAACATGGTTTTGTTGATGTGTAGAGGAATTATGAGTTGTGGTAATAGGAGAAGTGCAAGGGACCGGTACTAAAAGTGATGGAGATATCTGGGAAGAGATCTGAGATTGAGGAGGTGGTGTAGTTTTGAATGGGAATGTAAGTTCATCAAAGACAACGTGTCCTGGGATGTAGATTTTGTTGGTTATAGGATCGAAGCACTTATACCTTTGGATATATGAGAATAGCCGAGGAAAATACAGGAGCAAGATCGAGAGTCTAGTTTGTGTCGTTGATTTGGTGGGATCCAAGGAAAACATGCAAAGCCAAAGACTTTTAAGAACATGTAATATGGAGTTTTGTGAAATAAGAGATAAAGAGGTGAATGAAGATTAGTGATGGCTGCATGTATACGATTAATCAAACATGATGCAGTGAGAACTTCATCAGGCCAAAATGAGTGAGGAAGCGAGGCGCTGTTTAGCAATGTTCGGGTAATTTCAAGCAGATGCCGATGTTTACGTTCTGTGAGTCAGTTTTGTTCAGGTGTGTAGGGGCAGGAGGTTTGGTGATTAATTTCATTTTGTTTAAGGAATGTTCTAAAGTTTTTGTTGAGGTACTCCATACCTCCATAATAACGAAGGCATTTAATCGAAAACTGTGTTTTCTTTTCAATGAAACATTTAAAAGTGCGAAAATATCAAAAACTTCAGACTTATGTCGCATAGGAAAGACCCACGTAGAACGGGAGAAATCATTAATAAAGACTACATAATATATGAAACCTTGATGCGAAGGAACAGGCGAAGGGCCCCAAACATTCGAGTGAATGATCACTAAAGGCACAGTGGCTCTGTGAGTTTTATTTGAAAATGGTAGTTTATGACCTTTTGAGGTCATACAAGTTGAGCAAAAAGAAAAGCTATGAGGTATATGAAGACATTTATTGTTAACATAAATTGTATGAATGATTCTAGAGTGCGGGTGACCAAGTCTTTGATGCCATAGGGAAGCAGCTTGAGTCGTAGCAGCTAATGTCGTTGTTGAGGAGGAAGAGTTGCTGGCTTATCGAACAGGGTATAGACCTCTGCTACTTGGACCCGACATAAGAGTTATGTTTGTCTTCATATCCTTAATAGCAAAACCATGAGAGTTAAAACACACAGAGACATTGTTATCTTGAGTGAGATTGGATATAGATAGTAAATTGTGAGATAAATGTGGAACATGAAATAAAGTGTTGAGTCTAAGCTTACGGTGTGGTGTTGGCAGAATACCTTTGTCGAAATGGGCAATGGGTAAAGATCTGCCATCACCAATGGTAATGTTGTCGGTACTTGTATAAGATGAAGCTTGCGATAAGTTGTCCATGGAGTTGGTTAGATGCGCCGGGGAGCCCAAATCCAAATACTAGTCGTGATTGTCTGAATCAGACGCTGTGACCATGGCTCAAGATGAAGAGTTGGGAGGTTGAGTTTCAGGGGGATTGACAGAGATGTTGAGACGGTGCCAACAGTTGTGTTCCAGATGCCCCTTTTTATTGCATATTTGACATTGAAGGGTGCTCGAGTTGGTCGTTCTAGAGGGCTGAGATGAGGATCGTGCTCGTCCCCTTCGACCATGACCTCGATGCGAATAGAGCGCAGTGGAGGAATCGCCTAAGGTGAGCTGACGAATGGACTCGGCCTGAATATTGATTTCTTCACTGATCATGAGAGAGTAAAGATTGTCTGGATCTATTGGCTGCAACATTATGCATATGGTCATCTTGAAGGCATTGTAGGACGGTGGTAGCCCGCTTAATGTGTACAGGATAATATCTTCGTGATCAAGAACTGAGCCTGCAGAGGTAATATTGTCCACGATGGTTTTAATTTGCTGGAGATATTGAGCCATGTTTTGGTTCTTCATTTGCATGTTGTGTAGCTCATTTTTGAGCTATATAACGCGCGAACTGTGATGATTGGAGCCGTCGTTCGAGCGTGAGCCAAATAGCGTAAGTGGATACGAGATGAATGACATATGGGAGGATCGCCTGTGTGAGAGTGGAACAGAGAGCTTCCGATAGATTTTGGTCTACAAGAAGCCATTCTTGATATGTTTAATTGATTTCTTTGGTACCGTCTAAAAGAGTTTTGTAGCAAGCGGGAGGAGAACTTGATGGAAGAAGAAAAGAGGCAAAACCATTTGCGTTCAGGAGTTTGAGAACCTGAGATCACCATATCGGGTAGTTGTCGGAAGAGAGTTGGACCGGCACAATGATCTTGATGTTATAAATCACGAATTTAAGGGCGGCGGGTATTGCGCAGCTGTCGTCAGAGAGGGATTCTTGAAGATCTTCGATCTGCAATGTGGAGGCTAAGAGACGTCCATGATCGGAGTAAGAAGGGAGAGATCAACAAGAAGGAAGAGATGAGAAAGGAGAACTTCTGGCGATGCAGGAAGAAGAAAGGAGTGGCTCTGATACCATGAAAGTAGAGCAAGAATGAAAGGAAATGTATTCATGTCATGCGAAGAGTACATAGACATCTATATATATAGATAGCTGTAGGACTTAGATAGGTGACCTAATACAAGAATACACATAACTTGTAAAATAGGTACAGGTATATAAATGTGTTTATATTATTAGTCCTCATTAATAGAGCTCCATCACGAACAAAATTTTACCTGTCGGATTAAATTTACTGTATACATTTTGATTTATCAAAACGGGTCTTCGTAGAGCCAAAATTAAGTCTCATACTTGAAAAAGTTCTATGATAAACTGTTTTGTTCTTTGATTGAATCATGTATGCTTTATACAATTCAAGGTTCAACTTGTCACACCCCATAATTAAATTTTAAAAATTGTCTATTTTAAAATTTTTAATCATTTACCAAAACTTTTATAAATTATCAATATAAATCAATCCAACGAAAATGACTAATATCATATACATTAAAATATTTTACTATATTTATTCTCTCAAAAACATATATATATATATGTATATATATATATGTGTGTGATCAACTAATCAGCACAATCACTAATCTATCAGTAACTCTTGACTATAAAGAGTGGAAGAAAGAAAACAAATACGGAATATGAGAAGGAAACCTGAAAATCTCTATCAACCTTATTCCACATGATATTGGCATCTTCCATAACTTGGAATCAATTAAAACTACATAACAACCTTACAAAGCCCAAAAGAAATCCAAATTCACTAGAACTTCCAACATAAGGCTTAAAAGATTAATATGTATGCCCAATTTAGTTGATATAGTCAATAACGCTTAATCTCATCAATGATCAATTATCATTCGTAATGCTTAAAATGATCAATAAGAAAAGCAAGAAATCATTTCAATGAATCAATAGTTGATATGAGAATCAATAAATTTGTAAAGCAATCATATTGAAAACATGCATAAACCAGTTAATCAATCATAACCTATTAGTGTCAATATCATCAATCATATCTATTTTATCTATTATTAATTATGTGTAATCAATACATGTATCTGTACCCATTATGATCTATCTATCAATGTTTTTATGAACATTACATTTATATATATCAATGTTATAAATCCATGTAAGCTTTATTATATGATTTAGCAATGCAGGACATTCAACTTTAATGTGGAGTTTTCATCATCTTTTAACCCAGGTGCTTCATAGTTGGTCATAAGTCATATCCATCATAATTATCATTTATCAGTAAGTCAATTATCATTACATGGCGCCTTTCATTAAATCAATAAAGAGTCGTCACTCTATGTCCGTCAGTGTAATCAGTCATCAATTACAGGCTACAATCGGGATAACATCACAAACCATCTTCAAAGAAGTTCATCGGCTCACCCTCATACACAATATATTATGTTTTAAGAGTTCATATTAATTACAGTGTTAATAGTCAGCATTCCTTGCTTATGCAAATGCCAAATTTATTTTATATCAATTGTATCAATCTATCTTTAATAAAATGCAATATGAAATACTCAAATATATAAAATACAGAAAAATCTATAAAGTGACTTTAGCTTCAAAAAATCATAACTTTCATTTCACCCTGTAGAAATTGATAATATTACAGTCAAAATATTCATAATATTTACATATATATCATATACAAAATATTACATAGTAAAAATGTGGCAAATAAGGAGAAAATATATTTTTATCAATTTAGGAGGAAATAAACCTGTCAAACAGAAAATTATTGAAAATTGAACTGAGATTTTGGCTACTTACAATGATCAGAAGACTTTTTTTTTTTTAAATAAAGCAATATGCAAAAACTGATTAAAATTTGCTTTATCTCATTCCCTCTCTTCCATCTCGAATAAGTCACTGCGATGGGAGGTTAATGTTTAGAGTATATATATATAATGGCCTAGCGCCGCAATAATGTATGTTAAATTTAGAATTACTATAAAACAGAGACTCAAATGTAGTGGCAACGATTTTTAGTGATGTTGTGCACTTAAGCCTTTGCCACAACATTACAAAGCTTAGCATTGTAGTGCCCTAGTTTAAATACAAATTCATATATAATTTTTAACACTTTTCCTATTTTTTGGGTCATACACTGCTAAGCCTACAAACACTTCTCTGCCAAACCTTTGAGTTCTTCTAATCATAATCTGACATTTTTTTTTTTGGATGTTTTACCATAATTCACATCAATTCTTAGAAAGGGATGTTGTACCTCTAATTTAAGAACAACCTTTACCTCAAAGACTGAGTTAGAGTTTTATATGTATTTGATACATCCATGAAGTTACTCATAACTTTTCATAAAATTGATGCTTAATAATTATATTCTAGTATTTTCTTTAAAATCTGCACCAATATTTTAATGAAGGCCTTAGACAATTCATTTTTTCAAGGGTAATAGATATTTGAGTATCTCTAATCAATATTGTGACATCTCACAAATATATTTATTTTGGTGCTTGTAAAATATGGATCATTATCAGGCATGGTTTGATGGGGAACACCAAATCTATATAGGTTATGATCTTTAAGGAAATGAAGAATGTGATGAGATTTGACTTCACATAATGGGATAGCTTCAGCCCATTTTAAAAAATAATTAGATGTTGCTAATATGAATTGATGGCCATTGAAAGACATCAAATTAATTAGATTAATTACGTGCACCCCAACTTTTAGAGGGCCATGAAACAATCGTCAGATGCAAAATATTTTGTGGTTGATTCAATACTACACCGTGCACCTGAGATTAGTGATAACGTCATGTAATAATCATGCAATCATCTATCATTGAACACGATAATATCCCATTATTTTATTGTTCATCTTTATTTCAAGACCGAACTAGTAAGCACCACACAATCCAGCATGCACTTTTACAATAATCTTTTGGGCTTAAGATTTATTAAGACCACATAATCACATTTGATCGAATATATACTATAAATCTCATCCATATTATCATTTTCTCTTTCTTGGTGTACTAAAAAATCTAGATGCACATTAAACATTACACTTTTATTATTGCAATCTATTACTTTTACTTGATTGTGTGCTAACAATTACATGTTCTTTCCAAAGTTTCTTAAACTCCCCTCATTAGGGGGAGTATGAACGATGATTCAACCACCCCGTACGTACTTCCAACTCGTATGCAAGTAGGTGCCCCTATATCAAGTTGAAGTTGTTCAAGTAGGCATGATTCAATAGATTTATGGGTCAAGCATAATGGAGGCAATATAATTTTGATCTTGTTGGATTTGTATAATCGAAACACAATATTTTGAATAGAAATTTGATAAAAATTATATTTTTACATGAACTCTAAATAATTTCCAAATTTTTATATTTCATTCCGACATCTTTTTATTTCAAAAATTAGTGAACATTTTATATTTGTTTAATTAATTTTTTGAGGCTTGACATTATTAGAAGTAAAATAAAATTATAAGATATGCTATAAGTCCCTAATTTGAGTAAAAATGATATAAAATTAACCAAATAAACTTAGGTTGCAATATTTTATTTATTTTTACATAAAATATTAAATTAATATAAAACTTAATAGAAATAACTTCATGACATATATATAATTAGTCATCAAATAAAATAGTGACATATATAATTTGAAAGAGATAATTAGTTAAAATTTCATTTAGATTCCAAATTAAAAAAATGATGACATAAATGATGTGATAGTTTAAAATAAAAAAAATAATTATTTAAATTATTAAATTTGTATCAAATGTCACACTCAAATATCAAAGCAGTAATATGCATGATATTATAATTATAATAAAAATATACATGAATTCAAATTTAAATTTAAAATTGAAATAATATAATATCTTAGAATTTTTCAATGAAAAACATTTTTTATTTAAAAATAAAATAAAATCACATCTATTTAATAAAATCTAAATATCATATATCATGCTATTTGATTATTTTTTAAAATTAAAGTAAGACTCAATTTAAAATTCTATAGTCTTTTCTAATATTAAAATAATTTGCAAAATTTACCTTTAATGCTCATTATGAAATATTTTAAAAATATTTTTATTTTTCATTTAATTTAGTGAATTGTAACTTTATTTTTAAATTTAGGACTAAGCTTCCTAGTGTCTAATAAATTATTACGTGCGGTCACTGGGCCGTCCAGAGGCCAATTAGGACGAGTCATGTTTACTATGTACTACTGTGTATCGGATGACATAACACGTCCTGATTAACCTCCGGACAGTATCTGGTGACCGCACGTAATAATCTTTAATGTCATTTTCACACCATAGGAGCATGTGAGAGGAGAGATCAGGTGGGATTTGTTTGGTGGGAGGTTAGGCGAGGAAGCTTCCCGAGTAAAATGGGACTTTCTCGTAAGGCATCTTTGGATTCTCTTTGTCTT